TATTGTTGAGTTGTATAGGATGTATCTGCGTGTCGAGTCTCTATTTGGATTGTAGTTACAATATAACTTGTTTATGGGTCTGACCCACTATTATTTTTCAGGTAGCGGAAGGTTCCAGTCTTAGAGCTTATTCGTACTGAGCAGAGACGGTCACTCATTCTTCCGACGATGTAGGATTTCTCTTCATGGTTTAGTTTTAGATTTTATTTCAGTTGTTTACTTTTCCATTTGGGATTTTAATAGGGGTCCACTGGATGGATTTCCGAGTTGTTTTATTATAGAGGTTTTGGGATTATTGGATTTTAATTATTTAATTTTAAGGATTTATATTTTAAATTTCATCCAGCCTTTATTTATTTCTTATTATTCTTTTGTATTCTATGTTCATTTATATACTTAATTGTTTGGTATCCTTCGAATTTGTGCTCGGACTTGATCACCCGTGACTTTAGAATCGAGGGGTATCATACTTTTGTTGGTAGTTTGGTAGCAGAGTACCGATTGTTGCTGCCATTTTTTTTTTTGAATCTCAATGCTTACTCTGCATTGGGTCTCTCTTCCCCGGTCCATTTTTTGTTGAGGGTAATTTGGTTATTCAATTATTTTATAATTAAAATTAATAAAATACTGAAGGGTAATGTTGACTTTTTATATATTTTAAGACTCTGTTTGGCTTGCAAATATTATCAAGGGGTGTCATTGTCTCAAAACAAGTTAAGTTTCATCTTAGTGTCCTTTTGTCAAACCTCATATTATTATTGTACTTTACCCTAAAATTAATATTGTGATAAGAGTACAAACTCATTAGGTGTCTTCATGCTAGATTTGCTCTAAAATAATTAAGCTATGACAAAAATTTGATGCAATTGAAATTCATTCATCATACCAATTAGATTATTTGGTATCTAGTTCTAATTTTGAAGAAGAAAAAGAAGTTTATGGTGATGTTTTCAACTATAATGGAGTTGACTTATATTGTATGGGTTTTTTTATTTGATTAATATATTATTGTTCAGTTATATTTTTACTGGCAATTAAATTAGATGAAATTTTAAATGAAATTGTCCCAATTTCAACATGAATTTCACACTTCACCGGAATAAAAAATAAAAAATAAAAAAAAAACACATGAATTTCATACCACTAATTGTGATATAAATATTGTTTAATTTTGAATTTGAAAGTTCTTAAATAAGTTCCCATTTGAGTTTAAATTTTGGTAGTGCTAAAATGATTTAATTTGGATTTTCCTTGAATAAGAATTGAACTTGAAATTCAAGATAGTAACTCTGATATCCTACCATCCAAACAACTCGGTTCATAGATATAAAGGCAGACTATTATAATTTTTCCTTGGCCAATTTAATTAAATATCTTATTATTATTATTATTTTTTTCCAGGGCACCTTCTTAATTATACAAGTGGATATAAAATTTATGCAAGGAGTCCATTCAATGAGGCAAACCTATTGACAACTGGCTTGATATATAAGGTTTTTAAATTATAAACAAATAAAAGAACACTTCAAAATGAAAAAGAAAAAGTGTCATGTCAAACTTTCTACCGACATTCTTTTGATGCTCCATATGCTTCCAAATCTCAAAATATTTCCAATTCTCGTAAATAGACTAATCAATCCAACCAATTTTTTAAACTTGAGAGATATATAAAGGCAAACTATTATAATTTTTCCTTGGCCAATTTAATTAAATATCTTTTTATTATTATTTTTTTTTCCAGGGCACCTTCTTAATTATACAAGTAGATATAAAATTTATGCAAGGAGTCCATTCAATGAGACAAAACTAGTGACAAGTGGCTTGATATATATGGTTTTTAAATTATAAACAAATAAAAGAACACTTCAAAATTAAAAAGTGTTATGTCAAACTTTCTACCGACATTCTTTTGATGCTCCATATACTTCCAAATCTTAAAATATTTCCAATTCTCGTAAATAGACTAATCAATCCAACCAATTTTTTAAACTTGAAAGACACAATAATGATACAAGGACGCATTATCTTCATATATTATAAGGACAAGAGATTTGATAAAGAAAAGAAGACATTTTCATTTTATTTTTTTAAATATTTAAATTCTCACTGATGATAATTTACAATATAATTGCTGATATGGATCAATAATAAATGGATACATTCTATTTTAATTATCAAATTATAAATGATAATCAAATCACCATCTCTGATTTAATAAATGAATATCTACCTATCATCTTTAATTTCACATGTTCATTTATTATCAGTCCAAAGTATAGTGTAGATCCTCATTAGCGATGACCTAAGAATTGTCTGTTTTTTATTTATTTATTTATTATTATTATTTTTATTGATTCATATCAGCTATGAGTATGATGTATATTTTTATAACATATTAATTGAGGATGTGAACCAATAATAAATGGATACATCATATTTTAATTAACAAATCATAGATGGTAAACATTAATAAATATGTATCCCACCATTTCTGATTTGGTAATTAAAGAGAGAGTCACATCACATTAGCCTGTAATTTGTTGTATTATTGACTTAGGCTTCATTTGATGTAATATGTTTTTTTAGAAAATAAATTTTTTTATTTTTTGATATTTTTTGTTAAAAATTTAAATAAAATATTTTATTAAAATTTAACAAAAATAAGTTACACATTAATTTTTAATAAATTATTTTACAAGTTCAACTACAGGATAGACTCCATCTCAATCTAAGATGTTTTTGGTCGAAAATGAGCCTTAAAATACAAAACTATTCGGTGCATTTGAGAAATTTAATAATGGCCGGAGACATCTAACTAACCAGATTTCCCATGCTCACAGTTTAGACAACCACCTCACCGACCTGGCCCACAATTCTCGCTATATGCTCCCTTATCAGATACCATCCTCAAACAACCATTAAAATGGAAGAAATTATTATGGTCCAGGACCATGGGTTCTGGACCAATCAGGAGTTGACACATAACGACAAAAAATTAACTATTGCTTGGGTGAACCAGTGATTCTAAGATAATGTAATGATTTTTTTATAATCAAATGGGCCGGACACATGAATAAGAAAAAAAATATATAAATAAGAAGGTTGAGAGTTTAATAAGTCTCCGTGAAACTGGAAGTAGGTTTCTTATTAAAAAAAAATGTGATCAATAATCTAAGAATAATTAATTACAAAAAATATTCAAATAAAGATAAAAAATACCTGCAATTATAAAATAAAACGATTATTATTTTTTCCTTCCAGAATTGACTCATTTTAATCTCAAGATGCGAACCATCAATCTCACATTTGAAATGTGAAGAAGAATCAAACCATTTTGTTGTAAGGAATGTCAAATTTATAATAAATGATAATATGAATTATGAAGAAAATGAAATCAAGAAAATGCCACGTGCTTAATTAGTTTAAATTGTATCTTCTCCTCATTTTATATGAAAAACTGAGGTAATTGGGTACCTAACAATACAAAAGAGTACTTGTAAGTGACTTAGTCAAAATAAAATAAAAGTATTTAGGAAAAATAAAATAAAAATAAAAGTAAAAAAATTAACAAGGAGGACTGTCACTACCTGCCCACTCTGTTTAGATATTATATTTTTTTTAAAAAAATGCTATATTACATCAATAGAAAGAATAAAAAACAATTATCCTATTATAAAATCCACCCACCGCTACTTTGGTTTATGCATGCTCATGGAAAATTCAACAACTATGAAACAACATCCAATACACTTTTCATAAAATTTGACAAATCCGTTATTCTTCTTCTTCCTTTTTTTTTTTTTTTTTAAATTTATTTCTCAGCATTGCTTTAAGAAATTTCATATATGCTCTTCCATAAGAAAAAGTACAAAAAGGAAAAAACATTGTCATCTAGGTCTATTATTATTTTTGTCCAATTTTTCTCATTTTCGATGAAAAAAAAAGAGAAAAAAGTCCCCATCTCCCTATCAGAGAGGTCAATACGAAACCTTTTTGGTCGAGTATTTAGATATAAATTTTCAAAAAATCAGTTAGGTACGACTTATTTAAAAAATTGAAAAATATAATTTTTATTTTTGGATTTTCTTTTAAAACAATTATTTCTATTGTCTTGAATATTGTTGCAAGTGATTTTTTAATTTATTTTTTAATCCTGGCTGGGGAACTCGAACACAAGTGTAGGAGAGTTTGACACTTTAACAATTAGGTGTTACAAAGGGTACTTGCTTCGCATCGAATCTGGATTAAAAAGTAAACGGGTATAAATGGGTGGGCATGTGCAAGTGTCTACCCATTATCGTTGGTATTAGACCAGATCCAGTCATTTATTCGGTGTCACACTAAGCGTCATGTTCGAAAGACGTTTGGGTGAGTTACCCAGATAAATAGAATGACCTGACCACAACGAGGGCGTTGTGAGTTCGAATGAAGAAGAATATTACAAGAGGTAGAGAACCAGACTCAGTCATTGATCTGGTGCCACGGGAAAGGCATTTGGATGAACTCTTAAGTAGACAAAATGACCCGATTACAACGAGGGCGGTCTAAAAGGCATTTGGGTGAACCACCTGGGTAGACAGAATGACCCAATTATAATGAGGGCGATCTGAAAGGCATTTGGGTGAACTACTCGGATAGACAAAATAATCCGATTATAACGAAGGTATTGTGAATTTGAATGGAGGATAATATTACAAAAAAAAAAAAAAACTAATGAGAAAGCGCCCACCGTACTGAATAATACACACAAATCTCTCATATCTTCCTCTATCTTCATTCAGTTGTCTCCTTCAAAATTTTCCAACGACCCATCATTACATTGTAAAACATTTCAAGTCAGTCCAACATCCATCACTGCTAGTGGATTCCAATCAAGCCGTACGTAATATTCCCCTATTGAATTGGTATATAAATGGACAAGTCACAACACAACCAGGACCATCCATTCACTTGGTAAGCCTCAGCGACTCACGCGCAAGTGACGCGAAAAGAGAACACAAAAGTGGGGCAAATGCATTGCTTTATGTGCACGCGAGATTGGGGTGGTAATGGTGGAGCAGTTGCCGGTAACTGTTATTTTCTTCAGTTAAATTTTAGAAGCGGCTCCCCATTCACCCCATCTCTCTCTCTCTAACCCTCTTTTCTCTCTCTCTAGATTTCCATCCCCATTCGTTCTATATAACGGACAAATCATCCCTGTATTGCTTATTGTGCCTATCGACTACACATTGTTCAATCAGCAATCCTTGCATTGTTCAATCCGTTAACTTTGCCCTCGATTTTGTTTATTCGATGCTGTGTTTGATTATTGCTTTGGGTTTGTTGAATTTGAGGGAATAGCAACGTCGAAGCACAATTATTGCATTGTTCAATCCGTGAACGTTGCATTTGATTGTGTTTATTCTCTTGATTATTGCTTTGCGTTTGTTGAATTTGAGGGAACAACAATATCAAAGCACTATTGAAGGTGTCGATTTGGAGAATTTATATATATATGTGTGTGTATTTGTGTATGTGACTGAAGAATGGGAAGGAAGAACAGAAGGGTGATGAAAGGGAGGATATCAAGGATTGGGAGCTACGCGATTGCATCGTCCATTACAGATCCAACTTGCATTTCCTGCACCACATTTAACATCCTTGCCCCTATTTACAAGAGACTCAACGAGGAGGTATTGAATTAATCTCTCACAACGTGTCATTGCCAATCTATTATATATATATATATGAATGTTTGTGTATATGTATTGTTTTATCAATGTGTTGGAACTTTTATACGCGTTGTATGTATGTTTTTGGAAGAACAGGATGAGAGTTGCCGCGAAAGCGATTGCAGAGCATATTGGCTGAATAGGAACCACAAGATACTGGATTGGTTGTTGTGTGAAAGATCTTCCATTATTTGTCTTCAGGTATGCCATTTTGATTGTTTTATGTGACCTTATTTTGCAATTAATCATTATCTAAGTGAATTGGGATTAAAAGTACCATTAGGTGGAAGCTATCATGGAATTATTAGCAAGTGAAATTGTTGTGTGGTCTGCTGCAGGAGTTTTGGGTTGGAAACGAAGAGCTTGTGCATATGTATGAGAAAAGACTCGGTGATGCTGGTTATCTCAATTTCAAGCTTGCACGAACCAACAATCGTGGCGATGGTATGCTCTCTCATTTTTCCCATTTGGATTAGGAAAAATCAATAGTTTAGTAGGGAGTTTTGTTCCAATATTTTCTTCAGAACATATCCAATTGATTGTTAATGTATGTTACTCTATATTTTTTTTGTTTTATACTTGCACTGAATTGAAATTAATTGACCAATGTATGCCTTGTTTTGGATGTCTAACTTAGCTCACCTGATATGCATGATATATTGATGATAAACAAATTTATTCGAAACTAACAATTGAGATGGGAATTTCAAAGGGGATGAAGCAATGGGATAAAAAAGAATTCAATTATGGTTTTGGAGTTGAGAAAATGGTAGTACCGCATGCTATCTGTACTGCTGAGCTCCCTGCTAAGCAGTATGATTCACTGCTCTGAATTTTACTCTCACTTTTGTGATAATTTCTAAAGCTGTGATGGATATGCTATAATAGTTGAGCTTTATGTTAAGATTTGCTAATATTTTTCATCTGTATTTGTATATCACAATTGAACATTATACTTACACAAAAGGGGTATGGGCCGTATGGCTTGTCCATATAGGTATATATTTACATATATAAGTTGAATGATAGTTATGTTTTTGCAGCCTTCATAAGGTCTTTTTATTGGATTTTAACAGGTCTGCTAACTGCTGTGCATAAGGACTATTTTAGAGTTCTAAACCATCGAGACCTGCTCTTCAATGATTTTGGGGATCGTGTTGCGCAGCTATTACATGTTGAATTAGTCACTCCCTTTTCACAGTACCGAAACAACAATGTTCGACAAGAAATTCTCATTGTGAATACGCACTTACTGTTTCCGCATGATTCAAGCTTGTGTTTGGTACGATTGCAACAGGTACATTAACATCTTCATCAAGATTTACTCTAAATACATCTTATGCAGTAACATTTCATCATCAAAGCATATTTATCCTTTTCATTTTATAGTCCATTTCTAACCTTAACCTACATTTCATCTGTGTTATGATAGGTCTACAAGATATTGCAATGTGTGGAATCTTATCAGAAAGAATACAAGCTTAATCCTTTGCCCATAATACTCTGCGGGTAAGTTATAGTTAGTTACCTTACACTTTGAGTGGTCTCATGCTAATGTCAAAATACATACTTATTTTCATTTTAATGCATTTTCTTACCTTTTCAGTGATTGGAATGGGAGCAAGCGAGGTCATGTGTACAAGTTCCTCAGATCTCAAGGGTTCGTATCATCATATGATACTGCTCATCAGTACACCGATGGAGACGCACAAAAGGTCATTACCTCAAACTATCATTGATAGTGTCAATTATTTTTCTCATTAAATCAAGTCAAAACTTGTACTTATTTCTCATGTCGCATTTATTTCTATGCAGTGGGTTAGCCATCTTAATCATCGGGGCAATATCTGTGGTGTAGATTTCATTTGGCTTCTCAATCCTAATAAATACCGGAAACTACTGAAAACAAGTTGGAGCGAAACAGTATCCAGCATGTTCAAGGTAAAGTGATTTATTCTTTTTCTACCTTAAACTATTGGTATGCAGTTACTTTGTTGTTGAGAAGCTCTGTATGATGGCAATCCACTGTGTAAAATTGTGGGGAAGCTAAAAAATTACTGTCTTTTTATTTGAGGTCTTCCGATATACCTCATTGCTTTGTAATGCTGGCAGGACAAGGTGCCAGTTCTTTGAGATGTTCTCGTGGTTCTGTTCCTACATGCTCACGAGTCATGATTAGAGGTAGATCTATAAGTCCTTATCGAATGACCACTTTGCACTGCTAGCATAAATCTTATCAAAGATTGTTGTGAATTTAGCATCATGTCTCATCAACCCCTCTGAATCTCTAAATAGTCCACGGTAAATAAAAGAGAGCAAGTGTTTTTTTTTTTGGGTCTGTAGTCTCTACTTTCTATTTTCTGTGCTTTTGTCTTCTAATGAACAGAATTATCCTGGCACTATTCCTTATTAGGAACTTATGAGATGCCAACCATCTAATTTAGAAGCTGGTTGATGTGTCCGCTAGGACCATTCAGCCCAAACTGCAGTATCTCAGATTTCCTTGATTTTGGTGCAGGATGTATCATTTGGAAGCAATCTTAATTTCCTCTGCAAATCTGCCACTTCTCTAATATGACCATTGTTCCCAACGCAATAAACTGTGACAAAATACAAATTATGCTAAGTGTCATTTTAGACATCTTTTTGAACATGTTTGTATGTCTATAGAAATAATTGGCACTGTTGAGTTCTATGTAGCATTTGAGTGTATATACTAACCTTCACAAAGGAGTAATTTATGATGACTTGGTAACCTTGAACCTGTGAAGTTAGAGTATTAGAGTGTGTAATGCACATGATGCAAAGGGTGAATTGGGTTATCGTGGAAGTAATTGAGCACAAATGAAAGAATTGTTGACAAGTGGCAGAACTAGCACATAATTTCAAGGTTGAAATGACCTACTCTATCATGATTACCATCTCCTCCTCGTTGAAATTAACAAAAAATATTTCATTTAGAGATCATAGCGTCACAAAGTAAAATGCTAGTAACATGTATGTGAAATATTATTTTGGGGGGCTTTCCATGGTTGCATGAAATTGTATTTTTTCTAGTTATGAACTTATGGCGTTGATGCTTAATGCTTTCTGAATTTTTCTTCTTTTGAGGAATACAAAATGTCATCTTGAGATTGCCACCTCTAATAGTTAAACTTTATTAATTTCAGTATTTACTACGTCGAGCCTCATTGACAGAGAATGATGCATTTGCCTTTTTGAAAGCTGATAGCCATGGCGATTACATTACTTACAATGGTTTCTGTGAAGCACTACGACAGGTATGACAAAATACAGAGTAAAATATTATAATCTATTCTTTATAATTTTTTGGCTGGATAGTTAAGACATTCCTTCCAAGGAGAATGTAAACATACTAATGTTTTGTAATCCTTCAGCTTAATTTAATTGGCCATTGCCATGGACTCAGTTTAGAAGAGACAAAGGACTTGTGGGTGCAAGCAGACATAGATGGAAACGGTGTTCTTGATTACAAAGAGTTCCAGGTAACGTAAATGCATTGGATTTTGGTCACATTCGTTTATTTGTAGTATCAACCCCTTAATCAAAATTTCTTTTTTATTTCATGCAACATAAATCTGGAAAATGAGTTCTTGACCCAAGCTGTTATATTGTAAAGTGTTAAAGCAAAAAACGGTGGCTTGAATGCTACATCCATGGTGTAAAAGTTTAAAACATTTTAAAGACTACATGAACAGATGACAATACTGCGAAAAAATTTGCCATGTCTTAGATATGATGCTTATGTTGTTAAAATACTGGAATTACAGCAGCGTATTTGGAATCCCACGTGGTCAGAGCAAAGAGAAGAAATAGGAATCGATGGCAGGGGAGAAGTAAAAAGTACAGAGCAAGCTATAGGTTTCAGTGTGAAGAACGCAGTTCTCTTCCCAACTGAAGTGGAAAAAGGAATGTGGCCTGAAGACTATTCTCTTTCTGACCATGCCCGGCTTACTGTGGTTTTCTCACCGGTAAGAATGCCATGCTCTCGGCTGATAAGCTGATCAATTTCGGGTGCCATTGGGTAAAATACTATTTGCAAAATGGTTCTGGGCTATGCAAACGATTGATTGGATGCTCAAACAGCCATCAGGGTTCTTCATCAGGGAGAGACCTTAAGCTTCATCTTTAAGGAGCTATGAGGATCAATGATTCTTGCACCCTTTTTGGGTGGGCTCGTGTTGAATCACTCGTACTATTTTCAAGATGTGTAATCTGGCATACTCGTCGCAATGGTTTTGCTGTGCGGACAAAGTTGCTGAAATCGGAATCTGATAGCCTGTTTCCTCTCCCTACTTCCCAACAAAGCTTTGCCTCAGGTGACACCTCTGCTTGAAGTTGATACCAATGGAATGGCTGTTCCACTCCACAAGACACCCACCCCTGTTTTTTAGCCTTCTGTTGTAGAATTATGAAGTCTTTTTTTTTTTTTTTTTAACTCTGCGCTTGTTAATACACAGTTACACACATCATGAATTGTGTAAAAAAACATTCAATGGGTTCATTCATTGGTTTATAGCTTTATCTATATTAAAAGTCATACAGAATTGATGATTTTAGTCCTTTGATTTCCTTGAGCAAGTGTGCTGCAGGCCCATTGGGTTGTATTGTAAGCTATATGCAAGTGTTTGATTTAAAATGATATAAATATTGATGGATTCTTGTATTGAGTGATATTAAACGCAATACTTAAGATGAGAGAAAGTCTATTATTATTATTATTATTATTTATACTGATAAAAAAAGTTCTTGTTGAACTCTATTCCTTTAATTTGACAGTAGAACAATTTCACATAATAAAATGTCTTTTTGAATGAATGTTTGTGACAATTATTGGCACCAGATTTGTCATATATCTTGGTTAACAATAATGGCCAGTGGACTTGGGACATGAGTTGAACCTTATTGCCAACAAAAAAAATATATTATATTCTTGGTGGAAAATATTTAAAAGAGCTGCCTAGTGCTGTGACTTTTGTTACTCTATACACACTTTTTTTTTTTCTTTCTTTTTTTTTTTTTTTTTCTTTTCCCCTTTTTAAGGAATCAAGACCTTTTACTTTTTCCCTTTTTAAGGAATCAACAAGACCTACTAACTTTGTGACTTTTAAATGGTTGATAATTAATTGGAACTTTTGTAAATTTATGGTGGTTATAATCTCTTTTAGACCTAGTGACAACAGACAATTCCTAGACCCTACTTGCATGAAAAAAAGGAGAGTTAAGAGTTTAGTGATGACAAATCCCCATTCTAGAAAATTCTATATTGTGTTAATGGTATTATATTATAAAGAAATAAAAATCCTTAAAAAGTGATGTCTCATCAAGATGATTTAAAACCCATTAATTTGTTAAAAGATGACTATTAAAAGAGGTTATTGTAAGCTTGGTCTAATTAAAAGAGTTGCTTGGTCACCACACCTCATCATCATTGGTTGAAACTGGTCACTCAAACAAGATTACAAAATATTAAAATACTCTTGTCAATTCTCTTCTACTCTTAGCGTAATTGAAAATAAAAAATAAAAAATTGGTTCTTTCTTGTTTTCTTATTCATTAAGATATTAGAAAATGGTGAAGAACAAAGGGTTACAAACTTATGCCAATCTTCCAATTTCTGATCTCAAATTTCATTCCAAGTCTCACATAGAAGGGTCCACTTAACCCTTTCCCAACTTTGTTTTTTTAGTGAAAAAAGATGATTAGTCTACGTGTTTTCAACCGTCGTTGAGATGGGATGACCTTTTCTTAATTTTTTTCAACATTTGCGTTCGCACTAATAAAGTCAGATAAGCGATGAATAATGATTTAGATTTTTTTATTTTTATTTTTATTGAATTAAATCGACAATCCGACAACCTAACTTTAATATACCAGTACTAATTTTAAACTGACAATATAATCAAAAGTTTTGAAATTTTAATTTAATAATAATGCGGTATTACAACTCGATGGCAATATGTTACACATTCAATAAAAATGTAAAGCATGTATTGTTGTTGACATATTGTACAAGTGTTGCTAACAGAAACATATATGTACTGTAGTGTGTTAAAAAGGTAAATTTAGTGATAAGATAGGTACATGAGTGAGGAACTTACATGAGAGGATCCGGAACTGGACCATGGTAGATAATAGACACATATTTGAATGTTATTGATGCTCCTGAGGCATCTCATTATTTACATAAACAGAAATGGAAAAATAGAAATAATGAATATAGAATTAGAAAATCTAGCTGAAATGGTACAAAGCAGGTGAAATAATCTGGAATAAAAAAAATGAATCTTATCAAACAATTTTAACAGGGTATAATGGGTATTGAACCACAAACAGAAACAAAAAATTTTGAGAACAAAAAATATTTGGAAGTTGGGATTAAAACTTCGGCCAAACTAAAAAAAGAAAAAAAATGGAATTTGAATGGAACAATTCTTTTGATTTTTTAATAAAATCAGTGAAAATTTTATCATTTATTATAATAAATTAGATAAAAATAGAGAAAATTATTAACAATTTTAATTGCCCTTAAACATGGCTTGGTATTATCGACATCCACGTGAAATCGCTTTCAGCCTTCTGTACCACCCACCATGGGCTTGGTAAAGTTCGTAGCTCCTCCCTCGCTCTCTTTCTCTTTTTCTCTCTCTCTCTATATATATATGATATATTCATTGTTTATATATATGTTCACATTATATCAGTATAATACTTTATAGGGTAAAGTGCAAATAACCCCCTAATTTTTTAGTCAATTTCACAAAACCCCCCTGAACTAATAATTGCCCCCTAAACTATCAAAAAATTTCACTTTAAGGACAAAATCAAATATCAGGGTCACCGGAGGTCATCCAAAATGTTAGATTACTAGACTACCCTTTAGTGGAACGCTGCCGTTTAATTGTTTTAGCGCCTGATGTTGTTGACGTGGCAAATGCAATTTGAACATCCAATACTATTAGGACAACACATCACCTTATCACCAATAACCCTTAACACAACTGCCAAACACGTCCTTAGAGTACTTATTTTAGCCCCAAACACGGTCTCTCTACAGAACTCTTTCTCTCTTTCTCTACGCTCTCTCTTTCTCTACACTCTGTGTTACGTTTTCCTTCTCTGTTGCCGACGATATCGCCTACCAATTGCAACCTTCGGCATCCGACGAGCTGGTTCTTCAATAAATTTCAACGGGGTTATTGTGATTGCGTCGTAGATTCTTAAAGCTTCTCGCCGGTGGTCATGAAGTTTGATGTTGGGCTCTCACCCGTTTTAATGGAAGTCATTATGCTCTTGGTAGCCTAAAATTGTTGGGTATTTATTTTTATTTTTTTTCCAAATTATTGATTTAGCGTTTGTTTGTTTCTTTCCGTGGCTTGGCCCTAAAATTTGTGTGTGTTAGGCAATTTCCACCATCGTCGGCGCCTCCCCACACCACCACTCAACAATCATCTTAATACTTTATCTCCCTCGTCTCTGCATCAATTTAATTTTTTTTTTAATAGATCCCTCTGTCATTAATATTTTCCTCCCTCTTAAAAACCTATTGCACAAGGGAACTTTCTATTGCAACCCTCAATATCGCAATATATATATATATAATTGAACAAAGGCCTGTTAGATGTTAGATCAGGGATCTTGTATACCATATTGATTTGTTCGATCCAATAAAATGAGGGTAAGGAATAGCTAATTCAACACGTACTTGGTTTTTTGGAAAACAAAGAGAACCCACAAATGTTAAAAGGGTTCTTACAGTGTTAATGGTGGAGGAAGAATAGTTCATATTGGGGTTTGAACGTGGAACATGCAGTTGGAGTTATTTAGTTTTGGGGTTTGAACGTGGAACATGCAGTTGGAGTTATTTAGTTTTGAGTGGATTGCAGAGTGTGACCATGGTGAGACTTCCACACAGAGGTGATGATTTATGAACGAAAATTAAGGTTAACAAATGGATAATTTGTGTTTTTATTCTTTAATTATCGAAACAGTAATAAGGGTAGCACTGTCATTTTGAAAATATAACCCAGGTCACATGATAATTGGATGACGGAATAGTGTAGCCTGGCTTTTTTTTGCAAAAAATTAGATAGTTTAAGAGGTTTATTTTTAAAATAGAAGTTTAGGAGGGTTTCTTGAGAGAGAGAGTAAAGATAAGGGGGGTTATATGCACTTTACCCTACTTTATATAGTATATAATTTTGTATATAGCCCCACTAGGAAGCTAACGTCATTTTGCTTATATATATATATATATATATGATATATTCATTGTTTATATATATGTTCACATTATATCAGTATAATACTTTATATAGTATATAATTTTGTATATAGCCCCACTAGGAAGCTAACGTCATTTTGCTTACGTGTTAATTTCACCTTACGCTTCTATCCCTACACTTTGTACGGCTTTCTTTTCAAGCCCTCTACTTGGACAAGTTGTAGGGGTATAATTGGTACTATGTGAATATATGCGTGCACATTGTACGCGGTCTGCATAATTTGGACACGCGGTGGTTTTTTTTTTTTGAAAATTAATTTATACACGCGTTTTATTCTCTTATTTCCGTATTAGCTCCACTTTGTGTTCTCTCCTCACACTGCATCTCTATTCCACTTTCTCTCTCTAGACCCAGCTTCTCCGAAGCATCCATCTCCGAAGCATCTTTGAAACCCCACTGCATTTTATGAGAATATCTCATATCCCTAAGAATTCATTTCCAAAGTTTCTTTTTATCTGGCAATTCCAAAGCTGATCTCTACCCTATATATTCATAAACAGAGCCCTGTACTGGTCTTCTCTCTCTTCTTTCCCTTTCTAAATTTAATTGGGGTTTTAGGTCAAAATCGAGAATCATGACTGTGTTATCAAAATCTCTGCCGGTAGGTTACCGATTTCGTCCGACCGACGAAGAACTCATCAATCATTACTTGAAGTTGAAGATCAACGGTCATCATGAAGAAGTCTGCGTGATCCGAGAAGTGGATGTCTGTAAACTCGAACCCTGGGATTTGCCTGGTAATTTATAACAAATCTTTCAATTCCGATGTTGTTTTGAGTTCTTGGATTGATTGGTGATATTTGATTATGAATTTTTTTATTCAATTCTTGAATTTAGGGTTTTATGTTGAGAAAATAGAAATTAAAAATTGGGTGTTTGTTTGTTTGTTTGGTGAATGCAGGTTTATCGGTGATAGAGTCTCAGGACAACGAGTGGTTCTTTTTCTGTCCGAAGGATCGGAAGTATCAGAATGGACAGAGATGGAATAGAGCAACAGAGAAAGGGTACTGGAAGGCGACAGGAAAGGATAGGTCGATCAAGGTTGGTAGGGCCATGCGTGTGATTGGAATGAAGAAGACTCTGGTCTTCTATACTGGGCGTGCTCCTTCTGGTGGAAGAACCAACTGGGTTATGCACGAATACCGCGCTACCACTAAGGAGCTTGACGGCACCCACCCCGGTCAGGTTTGATCTTTAAACCCTTTTCTCTATTCAGCCTTTCCCCAATTTGTATTGGTTTTATCTAAATTTGATTGTGGGGTTCAGAATTATAGTTTTGGAAAGCTCAAATGCCTTCATGTTATACACTAGTGTGATAAATGCAAGCATGTGGAATTTTTTAAGTATTCAAATAAGAATAACCTTATTAATTTTATTTTTATTTTTTATTATTATTATTTTTTAATATGAGAGGTTATTACTTATCAAAAAAAAAATATGAGAGGTTATTAATTTTTAAAATATGAGAGGTTATCAACCAAGAATAACCTTATTAATTCAACTAAAAGTAACCTTATTAATTCAACTAAGAATAACTGAATAAACCCTATCCTTTAAAATGACCTTATTAATTTTTTTTTTTTTTTTTGCATTCATAAAGTCCACTATGCAACTAAGAATAGTTAAGGGTAACTGTATAAAAATGCATATGGTGTAGACTCTGTAGTACCTTTGTGGTAGTTGGATCACATTGCTAAATTGATTCTTTTTATTTATTTTATTTTATTTTATTTTTAAGTTGTAATGCTTTTTCAGAATGAAAGAAGAGAATAAAATGGAAGAGGATTAAGAAAAAAAAAAAGAAGAAAATTTAAAATCTCATCGCTTTCTTTTCTCAAGCAAACAAAACAATATATGGGGTCTTTCTGCTTCAATTTTCGAGAATGTATAACTAAGAACAATGTTCTACAAAATTTCAAGTCTTTTTCAAAAGTTTTATCATCTTCCTCTCATTTTCTTTCTCATAAAACTGAATAAACCCTATCTTTATATGTTTAAGCATTGAGAAAACATAGTGAACTTGTTTCAAATGCCGTTTGCGAAGTAATCGAACTTTTAATACTTATGAGAGGTTAGGTGAAAATACTCTGCTAGACTAGGTATGTTTATTAGTGTATAATGTATTCAGCTGAATAAAATATTTAGATGCTTCTTTCTATAATGTCATCAAGCACCAATAACTTAGTTGTTATTTTTTTTTAGTATATTCAATATTTAATTAGTCATCCTTACATTACCAGGTTCTTTCTAATCAATGTCAGTTTGTTACTAGTTTTATTAATGATCTGATGAACCTTCTAAAGTTAAAAGTTCTGTGTGTTATTAAATTATCTGTACTAAGAGAAAGCCACCTCATAATGGTTTAAATTTTAGTTTTGGAGCTTCTGAATTTACTTCGTGGTCATATTTTTATGCTGGATAAATTTATTCTCAAATATTAGTTTGGGTTATTGTTGAGTGAAATGTTCAATTTGTTAAATTGGTTTTTGTTAATTTATGTCTTCTGCAGGGTGCCTTTGTCCTGTGTCGCCTTTTCAAAAAAAATGATGAGAGGTGTGAAAAAAGGAAAGACGAGAACGCTGAAGGTTCAAACTGTGAAGTTGAAGATCTGTCTTCTCCTACCATGGTTAACAAGTCATCTGCTGAAGATTCGGAGTCGGTAACTCTAATTAGTGGGTCACCCCCTGAAGTTCTAATTAGTGGGACACCCCCTGAAGCTCCTTCCCCTACGGAGGTGCACAGTATCTGTAACTTTGGTGATATAGCATCTATCCCGGTGAGAAAATTGAATTTTGCATTAAATAATTAACCACCTTTTTTTTGTGGACAATGAAAAGCCTTATCAAGTATTATTTAACTGATTATTTTTTGATTTTTACTTCAGCCGCCGGATCCAGAGCTGGATGAAATGTTGAAAGACTTTTGCGAGACAATACCAGATGGCAAAATGTTCTTGCCATTGCATTCGCAGATGCAAATGGAGTTTGGATCTCCAGGTTTGCATTTTTCCTTCACCAATGATGGTAACGATGCCAACAAAGGCATGCAGTTTCAGAATGTCGCAAATGACCCGGAGTTTACCGCATTCTTGAATGAAGTCTTTGTTGACACAGAGGAAAACTCCTGTGAAGATTCTGGAGGTCACAAGAATTTGGGCATTGGAAGTGTAGAACAGCCGCAAGCACTGGTAAACTGAAGCTTCTCAATAACCTTATATTATCAATTGTTTTGCAAAGACCACCACCAAATTTAGGAGTATATATTACATCATTCAGCAAAAAATTTTTGGGCCGGACTGGTTGACCCATATAAGACCACCACCCTTTTTTCTTTTTTTTCTTTTTTTTTTTTTTCAAATATGCAAATTACATCTGTTTGAGAATATGAAAAAAAAAATTTTCACTGCCCGTTGGTATTATAACTTAAGTATTCAATTATTAATTTTTGTGTGTTTTCAATTCTAATTTTATTTCATTAATACAACAAAAATAAAATTTATCTTATTTTAATTTTATTTTTTCAAACAAATATGCAAAAATCACATTTTTGTTTTACTCAGATTGAAAATCAAATTTTTTCCAGAAAAAATTAGTTTAATTTGATCTTCAAAGGATCATTCAGTACTAATCCTTTTATGTTCATTCACCTTTCCTACTCTTTTCTTTTCTTTTTCTTTTTATTTTTTATTTTTTATTTTTTTTGTATGTAGTTTATTTTTTTCCTTTGAATTTTTTCAAGCATGATATTTTGGTAAATCTTGCTCAATTCAATTGTAGTTGTTAAAGTGTGTACTAATAATATCTGGAGATTTTTCTGTACCTTAGATTATATTTAAGTCAATATCATATGAGTCATGAATATTAACCTTTTGTTGCCTTTTACTCCAGATGAAAGCAGTAGTGTGGGATGGTGAAGGTCACGGGATGCTTGGGCAGAACTTCAGCCCTCCAGTTGTGAAAACATCTCCAGGAGCTTGGGAAACTGCTGCTATTAGCAATCTAGAGAAGGATGGAGATGTTTTACTGCAGCCGGGTCGTGCTCATGGACTGCATGGTTTTACTGCTAATTCTCCTGGCGAGCGCTCTGGTAATTTGAGGAATAGTTTTGAAGAATCAAGCAGTCATAGCAATGCAGCAGCCGGTGGTGGTACGGGAATAAGAATAAGAAGTAGATCTCACCAACCACAAAGTCGAACTATTGCCCAAAACATCCATGGAACTGCACCAAGAAGAATCCGTTTGCAGACGAAATTTCAAGTTGGATTGGTTAATTGCAGCAACTTGCCAGACTCGAGCAATAACGAAGATAACCACGAAGTAAAACCAACAGTGACCGAGGTGAGAAATTTGTGATGATTTGGAACTTCTCTGAAATTTCATGGTTCCCATTCTTGGATGCTGAATCCTATAATTTAATTGCCATGTGCAGGCTGAAAAACCCAGAGCGTCCTCCAAGGTTCGTCGAGCGTCTTCAATTATGCTTAGGTCACTTGCGGGTGTAGGCTTCTTCATAATTATTGTTGGCATGTGGAGATGCCTTAAATTTTGAAATTACGTATTAGAGATTGAGGACTTGTTTATGTGCATAGTTGACCCTAGTTAATTTGTAGGCAGTGATTGTTGTATGTACTGATTTCTAAAGTTTGTTTATTATACTCCTATCCATTTATGTATACATTGGAATATTTGTTGAAATGTGGTCTTGTCTTTGTATGCTGTAGCTAGGGCTGTAATTCGGGCGGGTTTGAGGTATAACTTGAGCCTAACTCATTATATGAAATGTTAAACTCAAACCTAAACCCAACTCTAATCATATCCGCAATCTTAACTATTCAATCCAAGCCTAACCTAACTTTTAACTTCTGAATTCGGGTTTAGATTTCGGTTAAATTTTTTTGATTAAATCGGTTGTTCATATGGTTAATCCTTACACCGAAAATTTAATTTGATTTTGAATTAGTTTTAGATTAAATTATTCTTAAACAAAAAAAAATTTAAAGACTTTTTTTAGATTTTTAATGAATTACAAAACAAATTTTAAAAAAATTAATTCTTCTCGATGTTAACATACAATAAGTTTAAGATTTAAGAAAAGAAGTTAAAAAGAAAAAAAAAAAAAATCATAATTTAAATATTATATATAATGTATTTAAAAGTAAAAATATATATAAAAATAATATTAAAATTTGGATTCGGATTGACTCGATTGCTATCATTTCAAATCAAATTCAACTCTAATTAAATTCGGGTTGAGATTTTTCAACCAAAACTTAACCTTAATTATAAAAATGATTGTCCACATCCGTGAAAAATTAGACTAGGCTCGGGTTAATTGCAACTCTCTAAAAATTTGCGCGTGCCTTTAAAATGAGTGCTTTGTTGTGTGTGTTCTTTGTCTGCAAAAGTAGCAGGGTAGAAGTAATGCAATTGATTTTTAGTCGATATCATGGAGTTTCATATTGGAAAATTTTTTAGATGATCCGGGATCAATGAACATATAAGCAAAAAGGAAAAAATATCTGAAGAAAACTTATACATTTTCTACACAATTACTTACGTGTCTACTGATAAATGGTCGGATTATGTAATAACTTCTCCTTTAATTGTTGGTATTTATTAATAAATCTTCACCATTTCAGGATATAGTCAAATACTGAGTGTTGCTGGTTGAACAACTGTGTCTTATTAGTGTTTCTATAAAGAAAAAGTCAAATGGGGTGAGAGAGGCTCGAACTCTCGACCTCAGGATTACTCTTAGAAGCTATGAGACCTACGCGCTAGCCAACTGCGCCACCACCCCTTATGTGTTCATTACCCACTTTAACCAATAGAAATTCGTCATGTCTAATGTGTGAAAAAGACACCCCCCACATATAAAAAAACTTTTAAGAATATTTGAGAATATAGAATAGGTGATTTGTATTTTGTAGTAGGAAAAAATTAATTTAAATTTTGAATTAAAATTTTTTCAATTCTAAATTCAAAGTGCTGATCGGTAATTATTTAGTTATTTGTTGCAGTAATCACATAGGTGCACACACAATATACATATAATAAAAAAGCAAAATTCTTGGCTAAGCAATACAGGCCACATTGGAGACAAACTATTAGACTGTCCAATTCCTCTTCAAACAAGAATCTTTACAACACAAGTCTCTGCAGCAATCTTAAACCCATCATAAACAGTAAAGGACAAACAACAATGCTAAGTAATTGGTAAGTAAAGCAAAAAAAAAAAAGGTTTGTTTAAAGGGGTCTATGTCCCTTCTTTTCTAGGGCACTTGAGACTTGTGTCCTCCACTTTAGGATTGATCAAATCATCATCACCAATGCCTTCTAAATCCTCCATATTAAGTGTCAGAGAACAATCTTGAGGTCCAAATGGCAGACTCACAAGTTTTTCCAGCTTGCAACAGCGTCGAGGCACGGTGTGTCGAAATGAGGGTGCCCCTGTACTCTTATGGCTGTGAGAAGAAAGTCAAGAAGGCTCTAGCTCACCTCAAAGGTACAAAAACCAAAATGTGGTGAGCTATGTTTTTGATAGATTTTCCTCCTTATTGCCACGTATGCATACATTGGAGACATTTGTAATAATAATAATAATAATAATAATAATAATAATAATAAATCGTTTTAGAAAACAAAATGCTCTTTGAATTGTTGTGACAGTGACATTTTTGAAATATATAGTTTGTATTTGGACTTTCTGATGTGGACATTGTCAATTCACTAGGACTTGGCATTAGGATCACCATGATCTTATGTTGTACAGCAATCAAGGGATACGATTGAAACACACAGCAGTGCGTGTTTGTTTTAATCACAGATATTGATTGCACAATGCAGTTTAAGGTTTTTTTTTTTTTTTTTTTTAATATATAATTCACACATTCATTTCAACAGGTACATATTCGGTAAATGTGGATTATAATCAGCAGAAGGTGACAGTGTGGGGAATCTGCAACAAGTATGATGTGCCAAGGACCATGAGGAATAAGAGGAAAGAAGCTCGTTTTTGGAATTGACTAGACAACGAAGGAATCGAATAATCAGAACAAACACCATCACCATCACCATCACCATCACCATCTTCTCTTTCTCCAAATGAATCCGAGCCATCTTTTACCCTCGCGAAGACTCGGTCTTTGAGCTGGAAAGCGTGGAAGAGGGTCTTCGTTAGATCCAACTCCTTCTAAACTTATCTGTAGTAAAAGAAGGATTCGTGTAAATTTGATCAATTTAGTGTATGGGTGTGTATATATTCATCATATTGTAAGCAACCTTTGTGTGGCAAAGCAATGAAAATGTACCATCCCCTGCTATAACCATATGTGAGGATTGTGTATTTGAATTTCTTTTATATTGGCAAGAATTTCATACACTCAAAACTGTTTTCGTGAAGATTTGAAATCTCCCTTTTTTTACTTTGGAATGTGAGGAAGTGCCCTTGGACCACATTTCCTTGGTGTGTATTTGAATTCAGTGGCAAATTTAACGGCAAAATAAGATCAATGTAAAACCTCAAAATTGAAGGTAAAACCTCAAAAAATCTCTCACTCGGCACACCCTGCAAAGACTAAAAAAAAGCATTAATAATAGAGGTTATGTAGCTCCTGAACAGTAGTTACTTTACCAAAGTTATTTGATTAAAACTCAGCCATGCATACAGTTACAATCCAAGAGTTTGTTCGGTGGTCAAATTCTTGACATTCATGAAATTCATCAAAAGAATGAACCCATGATCTTTTTGGAGGAAAATGTTGCTTCGATTCAGCAGAAAAAAAGGCTATGATCCCATCATACGATATTATTATATATATATGTGTGTGTGTGTGTATATACAATCCCAGCCACAGTAACAACTTTGGGCTTCCCATGCCCTCATTTTGCTCAAATTCAAATATGCCAGTTCAGATTCGCTGCTTTCCTCAACCCACTTGTAATGTATGACAAAACATAATGCACTATTATAAGAGATGAGAAAGTTAGAAACTGATCCAAATATTAGTTTACCATTGTCCTAGTGACTTCAGCCTTAACTTCCAAGTCTTGTAGCAGGGTTTCAAGACTGATTTTTTTTTTTTAATAAAAAAACTACTGATCCGAATAGTCGAATCCCCATTTCATCTGCAACAAAAGAGAGCCAAACAAAGTTTTTTTTCAATGTATTGAAGTGAACGAGTTTGGACCCCACTTAAGTGCATCCAAGTAAGACCCTTGTCCCCTCTTCTCTATACTTGAGTGGAATGGGCTCAATTCTCCTTTCATTTCTTTTTAGGCAGTTATCGACGATTGGTTTACTTGTCATTTTTGTAAGTTGGCATAATTCTTTGCTTATAAATTACCATGGTTCATTCCAAAACTAGCACAACACTAAATCAAGTACTAGGAAGATCTTTCGTGTGTGTGTGTGTGTGTGAGAGAGAGAGAGAGAGAGTATGGTGATACACAGAGTCTTGTTCTTGGTTTTATGCCTGAGCGCTGGAATAGAGGCACAGAAGCTTCAAGTGGGATTCTATAGAAGTACATGTATAGATGCTGAATCAACTGTAAGGGAAGAGGTCCGAAAGGGCTTTGAAAAAGACAAGGGGATTGCCCCTGGTCTTGTTAGAATGCATTTCCATGACTGCATGGTTAGGGTACTATACATAAACATCAACTTCTTTTTTCCATTTTCCTTTTTTGTCAATCTTTTAGTATTTCGTAACTCATTACTAACTCTTGAGCCTCATGACATGATCAGGGTTGTGATTCATCTATCCTTGTAGATTCAACCCCAACAAATATGGCAGAGAAGGATGGTCCACCCAACGGCATTACACTCCGAGGCTTTGAAGTGATTGACAGTGCCAAAGCTAGACTTGAAGCTCTACCTCAATGTAAAGGCGTGGTCTCGTGTGCTGATATCCTTGCTTTTGCAGCAAGAGACGCCACAGTTATCGTAAGTAGATATGAATTAGGATCCAGTCCTGTCATGGATGGTCCAGTTCATACAGGGAAAGAATGGAGATCACCCCACATAAAGATAATTACGCATTTTTATGAAGCTTAGAAGAGGCTTCGTAAAGTTTTACTAACTTCTGATCCTCACATTTGTTTTGGCTATGCAGACAGCAGGCTTTGGCTGGGATGTTCCAGCAGGGAGACGAGATGGGAGGATTTCGCAAGCTCCAGAGACCTTAGACATTCCTGCTCCCTTCTTTAACCTAGATCAACTCACTCAAGCCTTTGCTAAGAAGGGACTAACACAAGAAGAAATGGTTATATTATCCGGTATATATATAAGCTTTAATAGTACTATCTCATGCATGCACTCAATAAATTGATTTTTCTGCTAAAATGTTGCATACCCTATAACATTAGTTCAGATCATATAATCTCTTTTCCCTAAAGGGGAGGTTGAGTGTTCGGGTCCTGCTAGGGACAACATTGTTGAAACAAATGTGCGCGTTTGCATACCCTTTGTCTGCCTTTTGATTTATAACCCAATTTCTGTTATGTGTACAGGAGCACATACCATTGGTCGCTCTCATTGCTTTGCATTCATTAATAGATTATACTTCTTTAGTCCAACAAATGGCCAAGATCCTAGCCTAGATCTCATATATGCTGCGCAATTGAAGAGGCAATGCCCAAGAGGTCCTGATGGGAGTGTTGATCCTAACCTGGTGGTTCCAATGAACTTCAGCCCAGTTCTGATGGACCAGAACTATTATTTAGATGTTCTATGGCATCGCGGCTTGTTCACGTCTGATCAAACACTCACCACCAGCCTGGCCACTACTGCACAAGTGAAGGAGTATGCATTCAATGGGTTGCGTTGGAAGTTGGATTTTGCTCAAGCAATGGTGAAGATGAGTCAGATAGAGGTGCTCACAGGAACTGCTGGAGAGATTAGAGCCAACTGTAGGGTCATCAATCCATAAAGGCCTGAATATCTAACTTTCATCTATGCATAAAGTTAAATTTTTCAGTGTGTTTGACGTAAGTTTTAAAAATTATATCTATTATTGTTGTATCATCATGACTTAGTTCATTAAGAAGGTCAAGGCATTCATGCTGGAGATGAAGCTCAATGGCTGCATGAATATCTCTGCCTGAAGTTGTAATTTTATTATATGCACTCTTTTTTGAAATTAAGGAACCTTGTCCTTTATGAACAATAATTTGTTAAAGTTAAATGACAATCTAGATCTAACATAGAAACTGAAAGAGGTTCAAATTGATGTTGTCTTGAGTATGCAGACATTAACAGTTGTTTTAATACCTTATATAGAAAATGACACAAGGTATTAATACCTTAGTATTTTGGGAGGAAGATTGGCCTAAAAAGATTTGTGTGTTCCTCTCTTCAACTTGTGATAGACAAATGCCGAAAGGGCAAGTTTTAAGGTTGAAATGCTTTTGATTCCAGTGGCGAGATGACAAAAAAAATGAGGGATTTGCAATTTGAAGGTATGATCAAGAATTTGCATCAAGACTGGGGATAGAGAGGCAGAGTGAGCAAACATTGGGCTCCCAGGTCGAGGTTTCGAGAATGGTAGAGAGAAATATATATATATATATAGATATAAGGTGGGAAAGCCTCAAAATTGACGGTCTCCTTTGAATAGATAACCAGAGTATGAATCTCTAGCTGTTTAGGGGACCAGAGAGGTGATATTTGGGGTAAAATCAAGACAATGTTGCCAACTTATAAAAATAAAATATCTACAAACAAAAGTTGTCTTTGATATTCTCTAAATTAAGTTGAATCTACATGTAAATCAAGATGATCTTACCAACTTATACTTAAAATAAAAGCTTTAGAAACAAAAGTTGTCTTTGATATTTTCTAAAGTTGATAGTCTACTAACCACCCCCATTTTTCAAAGAGTTTTAGTCTAATAAACTTAGCTGCTGTCAACCCAATATGATTATTGAATAATCTGAAGTAACAAAGTCTCAATTGGGCACATAGTGACTGCGTGAACCAGAGTAAACAAGGTTTTGTTTGCATGTTTTATGCAGGAGACCTTGTCCTCATAACCATTATTATTATTCAGAATTTTTCAATATTTAAATTATTACTAAAATGGATGACCAACCTTCTTTCAACCTTTTCATTTTGGTCCAAATTTCAGTTCTAGAAGGACACTGGAGAAACTGAGATTTAAGCAATGATGATGCACGTACTCTAAACAAAATTTTAAAAATGACTAACTTAAAACCTACATTATTTGATGTCTCTGAGCAATTTGATTATGAACTCTTGACATCCAAGAAAAAATAAAGTCAGCATAGATAGAAACTGAGAATTAAGCAATGATGCACCCTAAGCAAATCACAAAACCTACATTATTTGATGTCTCTGAGCAATTGATGGTGAATTCTTGACATCTTTTTTATCCCTATATCGAATATTAATTTCTGGAAAATCTGGCATTAATACAGAATAAGCAGTTCCCCCAAATCTGTAATCATTTGGTTATCCCAACTTTTTCTTGCTTGATTTAAATATTTTCTTAGTAGCCAATTTTTCTTTGAAACATTGTGCTTGTAAGTTCTATATCCCAAAAGTAAAGTGGAAAACAAAGTAGACCCAATATGCATATCAACAACAGAACACAAAAGCAATTATATATGTCCACTATGAACTTTTTCTTATCCATTAATAACAACTATCCTTGGATTTTCATGCACTAAAGTCAACAAAAATTGATTTAGTCAATCTTTCTGGCATCTAGTTCCCGCGTTAACCCTGTTTAAGACCTTTAATTACACGCCTAATCGTTGTCAACCCACCCCAGTTGTCCTTTCTTTTCTTTCTCAAAACATTCTGATCTCAGGCAGATAAAAGTAAAAATGACTGTTCCAGCACATTGCCTTCTCACTTGGCACTAATACATATAATACTGGAGTAGGGTCATTAGCAAAATCGACTTTATACGAAACGTTTTGCTATATATAGCTATAATAATGTGACATGCATGGCTTCAAAGTGTTGTAACAGATTAACTTGTAGAAGAGAAACATGAGTTCGAAGAAGATAACTTGTGTCTCGATATGTTTGATTTTGGTGTTTTGTCAATGTGTTGTTCAGTTGGAAGCTCAGCTTCAAGTGGGGTTTTATACAATTTCATGTGGCATGGCAGAGTTCATTGTCAAAGAGGAGGTTAGAAAAGCCTTCTTGAGTGATAAGGGTTTGGTTGCTGGCCTTCTCAGAATGCACTTTCATGACTGTTTTGTTAGGGTAAATATATCAATCTCCATGTTTTTACTTTATTTTTTCATTATTGGTTTAAAGCACCTAATTAAAGAAATTGGTTGTTAAACTCTCAATGAGCGTGGATCCTCTGCAGTTACAACACGTGTATTGTAGCACGGACGACCACGATCATACGTTTAAGTGATCGTGACCGTTTGCTGCAGTATTGTATTGCAGAGGATCCAGACTCGATCACGGTCACATGTTTGAGTGATCGTGACCGTCTGCTGCAATACTGTACTGCAGATGATCTAGACTCAACTCTCATCGTATATCTAGCAAGATGCGGTTTTGCCCCTATTTTGCTTAAAATCTTTTTATATGGCACTTCTCTAGTTATATAACTATAATTTTCTAGCCCTCGAGTAGTTTACTCAACCATATATATCAATTTTTTTGGTACCTCTAGGGTTGTGATGCTTCGGTGCTTATCGATTCCACTCCATCAAACACCGCAGAGAAGGATACTCTGGCCAACAATCCTAGTCTTCGGGGGTTTGAAGTGATTGACAAGGCAAAGGCCAGACTTGAAGCTGCATGCAAAGGTGTGGTCTCATGTGCTGATATTGTCGCATTTGCTGCAAGAGACAGTGTGGAAATAGTAAGCACATCTTCTCATCTTGTTTAAGATTTTGCATGCATTTGACTAAAGTTGTATGCTGCTAAATATGTAACTCTTGATTTTATTTTGTTCCCCATGTAGACAGGAGGACTTGGCTATGATGTTCCAGCTGGAAGAAGAGATGGCATAGTTTCATTAGCTTCAGAGGCATCTGCAAACTTACCTCCTCCGACGTTTAACATCAACCAACTCACTCAAAACTTCGCGAAAAAGGGATTGACACAAGAAGAAATGGTTACACTTTCTGGTATGGTATTCCAATCATCGCAACCATTGCAGTTCTTGCTTGTGTCAGAAATCAATGTGTTGAGAAATTGTATAGGAAAGTAAGTGAATTAATCAACTAAATTGTTGATACACAGGTGCACATACCATCGGTCGTTCTCACTGCACTTCGTTCAGTAACAGACTATACGGTTTCAATACAACAATGAGCCAGGACCCGAGTCTGGACTCCATGTATGCAGCACGGTTGAAGCAGCAGTGCCCACAAGGCAGCACAGACCCTAACTCGGTGGTACCAATGGACCCAAGCAGTCCAAGCATTACTGATGTAAGCTACTACAGGGATGTCCTAGCAAACAGAGGCTTGTTCACCTCAGACCAGACTCTCTTGACAAACCCGATAACGGCGAACCAAGTGGATCAAGACGCTAGGAATCCTATGCTCTGGGGAAGCAGGTTTGCTGCTGCAATGGTGAAGATGGGTCAGATTAGTGTTTTGACGGGTAATGCCGGAGAGATTCGAGCAAATTGTAGGTTGGTCAACAGCTAAATTAAGAGAAGAGTACTAAAGGATTCAAGTTCTCCAAATGCTGGATAACTTTTCATTCTTAATTTTATTTCTATTATTTTAGTTTATGTGCTTGTACGGTGCTATGTTTGAATAAATGAAAGAAACCCATTTGTTTGAATGAACCCATTTAAGCATTGTCAGTTTGGATCACTCCAAAAAAAAATGTATATATAAATAGAGACAGAGAGAAAGAGCAACACATTATCAGAATTAGGTATCACAGCCAAAAAAGGAAAGAAAAAAATATATATATTATACGAGTATATATATATAATATTAAAAACTCCAACAGCATACCTAAAGTCAATGGCACCACATCATCGTTTTTCAATTCGTTAATTGATACTGTACATAACTATTTTAGCGACCAAATTGGTCCCCTGTCAAATATATTAATAAATTCAGCTGCAGGGCTAGCCCAGCAGTTGAGCATATATTAGTTGGGGTCTTTGACCCGTGTTCGCATATTTTCTCATCATTTGTGACTATAAAAAATAAAATCAACCGAATGCATACTTCATTCAAAAGAAGCTTGATTATATACCAAAATGCAAATACATCCATTTTTGAAAAAATATATAATAATAATAGATCAAGTTTTCTCGATATTATTTTTTTAATATTGATCTTTAAATTTAAACTCATATCATGTTTGAACTGACTGACAATATCACCAAATTGGTGATATTTTGTATTTTAGTACTAAGAACTAAAACAAATTTCTAAATTTTTAAACCCAACCAAAAAATAGTCTAGAACATATCACATGTGAAACAGACACAAGTAAAAAATCTATCCAAAATATGCCAAGTCCAAGTTTTTCCTAAATAAGCCATGCCACAAAAGCAAGCAATCTGAAGCAGGGTCTCAGATGGGCTGGTTAACATTTTTCATAGAACACGTTAACTTGAATCTTTGGGCCAAACTGGTGACCCAAACTCAAGTTGAGCGAATGGCTGGCTAGGTTAATTTTAATCAGTTTAAATTCCAGAAGAAGAAAAACGTGTTGCTACTAACTGCTACCGAATTGCCCCGAACAAAGTACAGAATACATGATTGCAGGACAAGCACTAGAAACCAATACGTGATACTTAAACCCCAAGTTTAGTACCTAAAGAAATAATTAGTGATGGAAAATTTAAAATAAAAACTTCTTTGTTACCAGACTTATAAATAAGTGCAGTAAAATGAGGAGCATAATGTAGCTACCCGGTAGAAGGTGCGGGCAATGTAACAAAGAAAATATAAAATGGTAACTTCTCATCAGACAGCAACATTCAAAATAGATGACTCAAACTACCTAAGTGGTGAGCTCCATGATGGCACTAACTATGTCTCCATTGTGAGTCTTGAGAGCCTTGACAGCCTTGCCCTTCGAAACTCCTGCCTGTGTCATCACCAAATCGATGTCCCGAGGCTCCACTCCAGTCTCATCAATTTCCTCATCTTCCTCATCCACCTGGGCTCCGGCAGCTGCTGCAGAAATATCTGACTTCGCCATCACAGACCCCATATCCGGCATCCTGAATTGTTGGGCAGCCTGTGTCTGCAGCTGAGAGCTCAAATCCTCTATCTTTGCCTCTCCAAATATGACATAGGTCTCCGAATTTGGGCTTTTGAAGACGTCGGGTTTTGAGATGAAAAATAATATCTGAATAAACACAAATGAGATTGGTAAAAAGCCATCGCTGATAAAGGCAGATCAATTACATAAACATTATACCAAACGAAGGCTTACATTTTTTGTTCTCTTAATGGTAACCCTACTAACACCTGTAACAGGTTTCATGCCCAACTTCAACATCGCCTTGCGACTCTTTTTCTCACTCCTGCTCTGCTTGGAACTCCCATTTGCACCTGACCTCATTTTCCCAGTCAAGTTAATTCAACAGGGGAAAAAAATCAATTGTCATTGAACATCAAAAAATTAACATTTTGCAACAAGAATAACATATATGAATATAGCAACTGTCTATTCAGATTGGAGATTGCTGATCTTCGGACCACAAACTCATGAATCATTGTTTAGGAGACAACTCAAATTCAGCTGTTCCAGTTGATAATAATCACAGGGTTGTCCATAACATAGTGTAGTCCAAGCCATTCTTGTCAATTCCAACATTTACAGAGTTTTTGGCATCTTCCAAGAAAACCACAAAAGCATTCAAACAATTAAGTGTCTTCAATGACATCAGATGTTAATTAACTATTGCAAGTTATTGGGCAATTGTAAACATAACCAGTAGTAGTACCCTGCCCTTTTCACATACACAAAATGCATAATGCTTGGGCATTATGGGAAAAATAGCATCACAGGACGCAATTACTTCGCAAAAATAAACTTGTAAATAACTAAGAGACACTAATTGCATTGTAAATCCAATCACATGATTTTAGAATCAAAATGCCATCATAAATATATATATATATATATAGATGTTTGGCAGATGATAAAACAATGGCAAAGTATAATGAAAAACAAAAACAATGTGTATGGAAGCATGGAATTAGTGTCTTGGAGTTGGGAGACAATAATTTCAAACTTCAATCTATTTTTCCTCCAATTCCAATTCCAAGGCTCTAAATCCATGCTTGCAAACGTCTCACAACTATCATTGAACAAATTGAACAAGGGACAACAAAAAGATAACAATAGCAAAATAAAAAATAAACAAAATAAAACATGCAATATGTAAATATATGTTTCTTCAATATATATGTGTGTGAGTGTGAGAAAGAGAGAGAGAAAAAAGGGAAAAGCACCTGGGGCACCATCATCCTTGTCATCGTCTTCATCATCAGAATCGACATCATCAGCGTCATCGTCATGGTCATCGTCCTCCTTCACGTCCTCAATCACTGGCTCGTCGTTCTGCGATTCAATTATACATATGTGACTGAATGAAATGTGTACATATAGATTGAACAAACATGCCCTAAATTAAAAGCTCAGTAAATAAGTGAAGGAAATGACTGTGACAAGAACCTCAAGCTTCTTCTGGGCCTCCTCTTCTTCAACAACGGGACCTGGCATGGCTGGGTTCTCAATGATTGAGGGATGAGAGAGAGTAGAGAGAGAAGGGATCGACTTGTGCTGTTTCTTCGTACAGCGCTATGAGGATAAAGCGTCCTTGTTGCTGGATAATGGATTTTTATGCTAGGGTTCCTTCGTTTGGGCCAACTATTCGGCCCATTTTGAGCACCACCATTCGGGGTCGATCCATTTCGATCCAATCCGAAGTCTGGATTAAGTTATTTTATGATCTCATCAAGTGTGAATAAATTCATATTCCATTTGTTAGTTTGTTATTAGTCCAATAAAACTAATAAAAATTTAGAAAAAGATGAAAAAAATAATAATAAATTGACTCTTCCATAAAGAAAAAAATATAATAAGAAAGAATAAATAAAGGGAATAAGAAGAAAAAAAAATGATAAAAATATTGTTATACAATGTAAATGGTATATATTACAGAATTTGATAATATTTTTATTATATATATATATATATATATATATATATATATAAAAATGATAAAAATATTGTTATACAATGTAAATGGTATATATTACAGAATTTGATAATATTTTTATTTTATATATATATATATATATATAATGTTTAAGTTGGAATGGATTGATCATGGTACATATCCATTTTGTTTAGTCAATTGATTGTAAAATTCATAAATTTATCACATTAAATGATCAATTCATACTCGAGTTATCAAATCAGATACTGATCACAATTTAATTCTTTGACAAGTCAGTGTTCTATTGTTAGAGAAAAAGAAAGAACAACATTATACTTTGAAAAACTATAGCAGTATAAGTTCTCCAAAAATGTTTTTAAATAACAAATTCCACTTTTTGCAAGCCCACAAACACGATCACTTTGAAAAGATTCAAAAAGAAATTTAGGATTTATTTGATTTGTCACTCAAAAATTTTTAAAAAAATATCAGAAAATTTATACTAATATCGTTCCCAAAAACTGTAAGTTCTCGATTTCCCAAAAACTGAACCAAGAAGCCCTAACAACCATGGAGTAGACAGCCTCACTCCCTCTTTCTTTATAGTAAAATGGATAACATTTTCAAGTCTTATTTTCTTACTTTTCTCTATTTCTTTTTCTTTTCTTCTTCCAAGTAAGGAATCTAAGTCATGATGCTACTCATCTTGCCAATTTGTAATAGATAAAGTGGCTTTTGTGCAAATATATATATAAAATAAGTTCCTCTCTCCTTTTCGAGAAAGAAAAACAGTAGAGAGACAAGGATACAAGATATTCCATTTCACATTTCAAGTCCACATTTTATTTGATGGACTTGAAATCTATTAAATTTGAAATGTAAACTGTCACAACTCAGTGGACTTATACATACTACAAAAGACAGATTCGAAAAGCTTGTTTAAGTTGCAACACAAAAGAAAATATTTTGAAATCCTTCCCACAAGTGTTAAATACATATCTATTCTACTCCCTGCTCTTCCTCCTCATATCCAACTCTAGTAGAATATATTTGTAAATTTGAATTTGAATCTCGAAACCCTTCATTTCAAATCCATTAACCCACAGGTCCCACATGATCAATAATCACTAAAACATCTCACATTAATCATTCAACACATTTATAATTTACCAAAGGACAAAAAAATAAATTTAAACAAATAAATTTATACTTAACTATGCGCGGATCTCATCTAACTGAATGTATTTAAACAAATTTCCATCTTAATCTTATCCAGAGTCTAGTCTAGCCTTCATCTAAATGAAAAGCTGAATGCAGGTAGTCTCAGAAAGTATCCACCCCAAGTAATAACACAAAATGACTAGCTTATTTGTGATCATCTACATAATTTGTTCACATCCCTAATTTTAGGCCAACTAATAACAAATATTTTATACAACCGGAAAGAAAATTTCATTATGCAAAAGATAAATAATGTCAAGATTTATCACATTTCATCTCAAACAGTGATTAACTGGTTTCTAGTTTCTTATTTTCACACAGGAGGTCCATGACTTTCATCAAACTGAGTAACCAGTAAGTCTACACACACACACATTAAGCACCCACTTAATAGGAAGTAGGATAATTTCCAAGGATGATTTCCAAAAAAGAGTTGCTCTAAGAACTCCCATAGTCGTCATATAATTCAACAAAGCACGCTCAGCTGATTGACGTCAGATGCACAACCTCTTAACATATCCTAAAAAAACATTACCTAGGTTAAAGAAGTATTCTTATTCCTCCAAATTTCATAAATTTGTAAGACAGAACGTACCAGAAAGACAAAAACAGAACCTCTGTTGATGTTTGATTTTTACAATAGACGGAAGCAAATCTGTAAGTCCACACAAGGTTTTGCCTTTTGATGTTTACAATCCCAATAAGGTTTGTCCCATAGCAACAGAATTTTTTGAATAAGATCTGGAAGAAAAAAAGTAAAACTAAAAAGTAGTAACACAAAGACTGCAAGAGTTAAGGCTATAAGTGATTAATGCCATAATCAGCAACATTCAACTCCGATAGAATGAATCAATTTCATTGTATGCAATTTCAAATTTCACCATCCTTTGCACATTTCATAAGTATCATTATATCATTTGCCAACATCAAGTAACACTTACATGCATTTTTCGCGCTGATCTTTTCACTAATTAAACCAAAAAATAAACCCTAACACGATTTGACCCAACATAGAGCAAAAACATTCACAGCTTTGTACAATTGTGCACCAAATACTACTAGATGAAACTCGGCCAATAACGCAAAAGAACTGAAGTGGTGAACAAAAAAAGAATCAAGAAGAATCAGAAGATAAAGACTCCTCACTGATTCAACAACTGTTTTTTTAGTCTCCTATGAAGTTTCCAACCTTCATTGTCTATTGCATGGCAATGCCCTCTAGGCCCCAACCAGCACTTGCAAGGCGCCGCCAAATCACAGACATAACAATAGCACTGCAACAATCAAGCAATAAGAAATTAACACAAGCCTTATCATGACATCCAATTTCTCACCCCATTGATTAAATTTTGGAATTAACTAAAGATTACCAGTTCACAGTAGCTCTCATGAGGCGTCTTCTCAAAGGGAAATTTCACACATACATGCCTTGAATGTGGGTAATCTCTACACGCAATCTACAATCATCATCATCATTAACATCATTAAGAGAAAAAAAGATAGCATAACCCAAGGAAAACCATTTCAATTAGGTTTGGTTTTATGCATCTGATCATACAAAAAGCAAAACATTAATTAGATGGGTTCAATATGAGTACAAGTCCCCTGTTCATCATCATCAATTCATCATCACTTCAAAATTGAATATAAATTTGAGAATCAAAAAAGAGAAATAATATGATGAATCTGATGTCAACCCATATTCAGAATCCATTAATGCTCCTTATCATGCATATCTATGTGTGTGTATAGTGTAGAGAGAGAAAGAGGGTTGAAATGAGGTTAACCTGGCCCTTTTCAGCAACGACAGAGAGGTCAGGGGAATCGGAATCATCAAAATCCCTGGTGACGGCGAGCTTGGGGATGTCAATGGCGTCATCAGGATCGAAATCTAGGATGAAACAGTCCTCTTTCTCTTCGAATTCCTTCATGTCCGTTTTTCTTTTGAGACAGAAAATGGGTCTCAGTGGGGTCCCCTCCACCTCCGACGGAGGAGAACATATATCTATCACCTCACTGTGTTTATCCTCCATCTCTCTCTCACTATCATAAACCCTAGAAAAGGACAGCAATAACTTATTCGAATTTTGAAATCGACCAACGACCGTTTGTGTTCCGAGAGAGAGGGGTAGGGCAAGGAGAGTGAAGTGTGGAGTTTTCAAGGAAATCGTAGAGCTTTTATTGGAGGGATACCACACGGTCCACACATGTAGGGCAGTAAATCGGGCGGCTTAGGAGATTTGGGCCCAACTCCATATAGAAAATGTTCACCTTTGGTCTAAATTCATCTTTCAAACTCTAACTAGGTAACCCAAACCCAATTCATCATTATATTTCTAAAATTAAAATTTTAACTTGTATGGAGGTTTCGGGCTTAAAAATTGAGTTCGTTGGAGTAACCTATGGCCAATTCCTACACTTAAGATGACAATTTCTTCCAACTTAGCGGGTTTTTGCCCCACCCCGCCTTTAATGGAGTGGATTTAGTGGCCCCTAAATAGATTTGGGATGGGTATAGTAGAATAATTGAATATCCGAAGCAGGTTTGGGGCAAGGGCGGATTTAGTGATGACCCCGCCCTGATTATATATGTACCTTTTAATTTTTATATGTATATAAAATATATATTTTATATTTTTAAAACTCTTGTTACTTTGCTGGAGGTATTCGTAAATATATTAATATTCACTACTTAGTAATTTATCAGTTCAATTTGAGCACATTGGGTTGATTTTTTATTTTTTTTACTATGTAATAAAGTAGCATAACTCGATCCGTTCCGCAATTAAACGGAGTACATGGGGCGAAGTCGGTACTTTGTCCATCAAAGTAGAAGCGGAGATGGTATAACAATTACAAACCTGTTTCGGAGTAGGGACTTAGTTGATGTGATAGATTTTTTAACGGGGCGGAGTAGGGTTTAGCCAAACCCGTCCTAAGTCCGCCCTGTTGCCATCCCTATCCACACTAAAAGATTAATATTATTTTGAATTGATTTCATATTAAATTCTCCAAAACCAAAACAATTTAAAATACTTATTGCAAATTTTCAAGACGGAGTAAATTACAAACAAATTTTTAGAAAATTAATTATTCAAAATGTCAATATATAATAAATTAAAACTTAAATAAAATAAGTTGAAAAAAAAAAGCTGAACATAATTTAAATATTATATATAGTGTATTTAAATATATATATATATATATATATATATATATACACTATTAAAATTCGGATTTGAATTGGCTTGAGTTACAAGTACCTCAAACTAAGCCTAACCCAATAAAATTGGGGTTGAGATTTTTCAATCAAAACTCAACCCAACTTGAGTTTCAAGAGTTGCGTTTGGATTGTCTAACCCAAGTTACACCCCCCTAACCATATGTGAGAATTCAAGAGTATTAGTATACTTTCTTGTAGGGGAAGAGGGAATCAGCCAGTGGTCTAGTAGAAATAATAAAATAAATAAAGAGACGCTGTCCAAATTTCTAATTGGTTCTTCTGATAGAGAAACAATTTTTTCTCGATTGGCCAAAACTACATTATTGGCCTTCCTTGGGCTTATTGGGCCTGATCTACCAATTGAAAATGTAATGGGCTGGAAGAAAGCCCCAAGCGAACAGTTTCCTACTCTCACCTTCCTATAATTGGTGCTTCTTGTATAGGGAAGCAATTTCTTCTTGATGGGCCAAAATCACATTATTGCTTTGTTTGGGTGTATTGGGCCAAAACTATCTATTGAAAATCTAATGGGGCTGGAAAAAAAAAGCCCCAAGCACAGTTACCTACTTTCACATAACACCAAGCTCTCACAAGGGACAATTAGAAAGGAAAGGAAATGTAGGGGAGTATACGACCCTAAAAAAATGAGAAGTGATCGGAAAATTGAATAAATATGACATTATCTTTTACTCACATAAATATTAGTAGATATATTCGACTTTCGAATGATATGCTTTTTACCATGTGATTGAGTAGCAAAGAAATGAGAGAGGAAGGGAAACGCATTAAATTTCCTTTTCTAGAAAAAGGTTTTTGGAAGAAAACTATAATAGAAAAAGGTCATCAATTGCTGCAGTCCTCGTCTTCTTCCAAAAGAGTAGGTGAGATGATATTCAATATACTGAAATACATATGTCTATATCTATATCTACTTAATGATTTATTGGCTTAACTTAAATAAATAAATATTAACTTAAATAAATATAGGTAGATATATTCGACTTTCGAATGATATGATGGTTGAGTAGCAAAGAAATGAGAAAGGAAGGGAAAGGCATTAAATTTCCTTTTCTAGAAAAAGGTTTTTGGAAGAAAAGTATAATAGAAAAAGGTCATCAATTGCTGCAGTCCTCGTCTTCTTCCAAAAGAGTAGGTGAGATGATATTCAATATACTGTAATACATATGTCTATATCTATATCTATTTATATATATATTAATTGTCAATTAGAATTTGGTTGTTGCTTAACCATGGAATTAGTATCCACCATTTGAATGCTTATGCATTCATTTCCTGCGAAATAGGACTTCCATGACATGCATTTAGGGGAAAATGTATAACTTTCAAAGACAAATTATGTAAAAAATGTTACAAATATGCCCTTTTTGCATTGTATTGGATAAAAAAATTAGTTCAAAGACTAGCATAACTACTTTGCCATTGGTATTGCAAGGAGTCGTCTATTTATGTTTGGGTCAATGTCCGCATTCACAAGCTTGGTGAAGTACTGAATTAGAACGCTAAAACAATAACTTCGACTTTTTGGGGTGGACCAAGTAAACATGCAAGTCTTACTATTCAATTATTAATCATTTTTGGGGAGTATCTGTGTTCGAGTATCATACTTCCTCCTAATTTATTAGGAAAAAAAATAAAAAATAAAAAATCTTTCATTTTTGTCGATGCTTGAAACTGTTAACATAATTAGATTATAGCTGTTGTATAAATTATTACCATAATTAGATTATATTATAACCGTTGTATAGATTAATGCCTTGATTATTGTATAACTGTTGGTGATCTCTCACCTATTTATACCTCTTCTTGTACATGATTCAAACTTCATTTCAATATACAGAATTTTACAATTTCATATATGTCTGTCTCTCTATCTTTTTTATTTAACATGGTATCAGGGCCATCGATTGATGGCCTGTACTAAACAACTTATCTGTTCATTGTCGCCTCCCTCGCCATTGTATTGCTTATATGTTCTTCATCTGCACCATTATTATTATTATTTTTTCCTCTATATCTCTCGCTGAAATTGTTATTTGAAGTCTAACCCAATTTCATATTATTCCAAAAATCAAAACCCATACCCTTCAGTTTCATCACCCGCTGTTCCAGTTGGGTTCGCCGTTTGCAAGCTTCAGTCGCTGGCCCGCCGTCCTCGACGCTGCAGCTCTATGCCATTGCCACCACCAGCCAAGGTCACTGCTGAACCAGCCGCCGCCACCACCAGCCGAGGTCACCGCTGTTTAGCCCGAACCAGCCACCACCACCAGACGAGTCATCCTCGGCTGAACCAGCCGCCACCACCAACCAAGGTCACTGGTGTTCCGGCCGAACCAGTCGCCACCACCAGCCGAGATCACCGCTGTTCCGCGCTATCTGCCCCGAGTCATCTCTGTTGCCACCGCCGAGAATCCTTACCACCATCTTCAATCACATGCTACCAACTGTGATTGAAGATATTTCTATCGGTGCCCTCTGCAAACTCATCTCTCTTATTGTGCACAATTTTGGGGGTAACAGTAAAGATTTTGGACTTATCCCAAAAAAAAAAAAAAAAAACAAACAAAACAGTAATGATTTTGGGCTTACTCTTGTGACAAGTTTAGGCCCACTAAATTGGTCTCTTTAAAGATATATCTCACCTCTCATATTTCAGTTATGGACAGATCTGACAATTCCAATCCTATTGGGACTATTTTACAAGGTTGTTCAAATTATATCCTATGGTCTCAAGCTATGTCCAGTTTTCTTAAAGGTAAGAAATTATGGCGCATTATTACAGGTGATGTCTTCGAACCCGTGCGACTTGAAACAGAAACAACAGAAAAATATGGTGATCGTCTTGAAGAATGGGATAGCAAAAATCATCAAATTATTACTTGGTTTCGCAACACTTGTATCTCATCCATCAGTATCGAATTTGGTCGATTTAATTCTGCAAAATCCATTTGGGATTTTTTGAAGAACCATTACACCACTACTGATCTCGCTCATCAATATCAACTTCTGACCAATCTTCACAGTAAAACTCAACAGCCTGGTCAATCTATCGGTAACTTTGTCTCTGAAATACATGCTATTTGGGATCAACTATCTCTTTCTGAACCCACTTGGTCGTGTGCTTCTGATACTACAAAGTTTACTACTTATCGAGATCAGCAATGTGTCATCATGTTTCTCATGGCTCTTCAACCCTCATTTGAACCAGTTCGAGCCTCTCTTCTTCATCGGCATCTTTTGCCTACCTTAGAAGATGCTATAACTGAGCTTCTTTCAGAGGAAACTCGTCTAAGTACATTTCAACCTCAGGCTCCAGATGCAGCAGTCCTTGCTACTCATTATCACAGAAAGAAACCAACTTCATCTTTCTCCTCTCCAAAGGAGTGTAACTACTGTCACAAAACCGATCATACCTTATTAACCTGTCCCACCAGAATATGCAAGTTTTGTCACAAGAAAGGCCCAGGTCACTACCATAATGATTGTCCTAAGAACTGGCAATCTCGCACCAATTCTTTCAGAGACTCTTCATCCAGCCACAGTCATCCATCTTCATCTATCACTGCTGTCACTGCTGAGGGGTCCTGTCCTCCAGTTCCTACAGTCACAATAATGTCCACCAATGATATCGAAGCTCTCCTTAAGCAGATCCTCTATAATAATGGTACTCCTACTTCTACTGTTATATCTGTTACATCAAGTAATTCTTGGTTTTTTAATTCTGGTTGCTGTAATCACATGACTTCTGATTCTACAATGTTTTCTAAACATCATCCTGTCATTAATACACCTACAATTCATACTGTTGATGGATCTCATTTACATGTCAATTACATCGGTCAAATTTTCACCCCCAATGTCTCACTCTCAAATACCTTTCATATTCCAAAAC